ATTTGTAATTATATATATTATATATAATATATATAATTTATTATAATAATTAAATATATTATTTATATATATTATAAATATAATATTTATATATAATATATTTATTGATAATTTTTATAATATATATATATTATAAATATTTATACTATTATTTATATATGATATATTATTTATATATAATATATTATTTATTGTTATAATAATTAAATATATAATATTTATGTGTAGAATATTATTTATTCACTATTTATAATATATTGTTTATATATAGCACTGAGCCACAGCACTTAAAGTGGTATCAAACTGCATTATTTCCTGTCATGAGGATGCAGGCAATGGATTCTAAACTCCGGAATCCCACAGCATGGAGCCACGGCGATTAAAGCAGGGCCAAACTGCATTATTTACGTAACACAGAAGCAGCCTAGAAAGAAGCAGAAGCATTTGGAAGCAAAATTTGTTCTTTTGTGAGATGATGAGCAAAAAGCTCTGGTGCTACAAGGAAAAAAAAAATACTATTCCTGGACTTCCACAGCATGGATCCATGGCATTTAAAGTGGTGTCAAAGCAGATTGTGCAGTTCCGATGTACCCAGGTATTTTTGGACTTCAGCTCCCAGAAGCCGCTGCCACTTTGGCCAATACCCAGGGATTCTGGGAGGTGAAGTCCAAAAAACCTGGAAGGTCTGAGTTTAGGAATCACTAGGGGGAGGAAGAGGCACCATAAAATGGAGGACAGCACTTCCCAAACTCAGGCCTTCCAGGTGTTTTGGAGTTCAGCTCCCAGAATGCCCAGACTATTGGTCAAGATAGCTGTAGCTTCTGGGAGCTGGAGTCCAAAAACCAGAGTTTGGGAATCACTGATGTAGGACATCCAAGAAAAATAGGAGGATAAAATAAATAAATGAAATGAAAGTTGAAAGCACTCCTGGAAAAGGAGGACGCCTGGACACCCTGTGAGGACAGGGTGACCTGATATCTTCAGTGCAAAGGAGGATAACTTGCCACAAAATGTGGGACATTGTCATAGTCCAACACTCACTTCACTATGCCACACTGGCTCTCACACACTATGCTGTTCCTTACTGTTGGTGTTTTTGTAGTGCGTCTTCAAATAATTTCTGATTCATGGCAACCCTGTGTGACTTGCCCAAGGTCATCCATTGGGTTTCCATGGCCGAGCTGGGATTCAAACCCTGTTCTCCAGAGTCATACTGTATAACGGGGGTAGGCAACCTAAGGCCCGGGGGCTGGATGCGGCCCCCCAAGGACTTTGGACCGGCCCCAGGCTGGTCCTGCCACTGCCGCCCGCCATAATGATTTTGATTATTGTTGTTATTACTTGTTCTTGGGGTTTTCTTGGCAAAATCTCCACAGGGTTTTTGCCATGGCTTTTTTGGGGCTGAGAGAGTGTGCATACATATTTTTTAATTTTATAATTTAAAAAAAATATTTATTTATTTATTTTTGGTGCTTCAGCCCCCCAGTTGTCTGAGGGACAGCAACCTGGCCCCCAGCTCAAAAAGGTTGCCTACCCCTGCTGTAGAACAACACTCAAACCACTACACCATGCTGGTTTCCATATTTCTCCTTTGTAGAAGGCTGGCATGGCGTAGTGGTTTGAGTGTTGGACTACAACATTGCAGACCAGGGTTCAATTCCCAGTTTGGCCATGAAATCCACTGGGTGACCTTGGGCAAGTTATACCCTCTCAGCCTCAGGGGAAGACGATGGCAAACCTCTGAACAAATCTTGCCAAGAAAAGCCCATGATAGATTCGCCTTTGGGTCGCCGTAAGTCAGAAATGACTTGAAGACAACACAACACACAGAAGCGCACGCAGAGGAGGGCAGCACTGTTTTAGCTTCCCAACAAAAATCCTGTGGTACACATTTGGCCTACAGAGGTCTTTAAAAGGCTAAACGGGAATGTGATTTCTTATAAAGTCTTGTAAAGTCTTTGTAGTCAGACTCTATTGAGGAGGTCACGGGTATTAAGGGGTTGCAGGAATTAAGCAGAGCAGTGGAGGACAGAGGTTCTTGGAGATGTCTCATCCATAGGGTTGCCATGAGTTAAGATCGATTCGAGGGCAGTTAACAGCAACAAAAGTTTTATAAAGGCTAAACAGGGATGTGGACCCACATTAAAGCTTCAATTTTTAGGCATACCACCAACCTAAAAGGCTTCTTTTCTTGTACAGTTGGCCCTCCACAATTTGACTTTTCTGGATTTGATTATTTGTGATTTTGATTAATATGTTCTTTCTAGGAATATCGGTCCTGTAGTGCAACTCTGCCAGAATTTGACCATAGAGTAGTGCTGGAGAACCTAGAAGTTCCTAGCGAAAACAATTCTCTAGGCATTTGTAGGTCCTCCAGCATGATTCTATGATCAGCTTTTGGCAGATGTTGACCATAGAGCTCCATTCTCAATATAACATCCCTACAAATATTTAAACAAGTCTATGAGATAGAGGTTGTGGCAACTTCCTGTCAATTTTTGCTCTTCAGATTGCTGAGACCAAGATGAGACACCTAACAAGGCTGTATATAGGAGCTTTATATAGTAATAATAATATTTAGTAATAGACGTGCTTAATGAGACAAGGTTCTTGAGCACAGTTTAGCTTCCCTTTTGAGTATAAATAGTCACAGATTTGTGCTGCAAATGATTGCTTTGTTGGAAAGGGTTGATATTCTAATTTAGACGAACTGCTAAGGCCTTGTTTACTAAAAATATTTCCCTGGGTAGTGTACATAAAATAGCAGTCCAGGTAGAAATGCTTTGTAGTCTACCTAGAAATGCATTGTATTTTTCAGTCTTGTATAAAAGATACCACCTTGCAGATAAAACATAAAACAGGAAACTTCCTGTGGTTTTTCTGAAGCTACATACATATAGCTGCCATTAAGAACCCAAGCGTACCTGGATAGGAGAGTTCTTAGAAATCTGCAGTAGTGTGATGGAGTGGTGTGATATTATTGTTAAAAAAAGATAAAAAGAAACAAATGTTAGAGTTTCTGAGAAGCATGTAGTTTGGAAAGTTGAAAGTTGTTTTATAAAGAGGTTATATATGTTACTGCTCTCTCTTTTAGTGGTATTTTTCAAAGTATGTTAACTTGTGTTCTTGAATAAAATGTTAAAAGTTCATTGGCAATGAGGCTACCTTTCTCTTTGGTCTTTTTCAGTGTTTTAACAGAATGCCTCCTGGGAAGGATTCAAAGGACAAGAAACATCTGAGGATATATGAAAATGCATCAGAAAAAGAAGCAAAATCAAATGGGAAAAGAAAGCGAGACTGTGGAGACCTAGAAAATGAGCCACAAGCAAAAAAAATATACGTTAGGAAAGCTCCCAAGTATCTGGACAAAACTGGTAATCTTCTCAGATGTATAATTTTCTCAAAAAGACAGTGTGATGTTATTTAATTGTATTCTGTTTGTGTTGCTTAATCATGCAAAAATCAGCTAATAGTTATCATTAGAGATTTAAAATTTCTAGAAATTTTGAGATCGTAGGGGGAAAATGTTTTGTATTCAAAATTGAAATTTTCGGATTTTTTTAAAAAAAACACTGAAATATTAAACCCACTTAGTTGTATGAAAGTCATTTTGTTACTTTAGGAACATAATGTTCATTATATATAACCTTGTGTGGTATAAAATTATTATTTGATATATTAAAAGTACAGCTTATTCAGAATATATTTGCAAATTGAACTTGTGTTTTAATTTTAATTTTATTTATATATTTTTGCTACAAATGGAGCTACAAGGTCCTGAACTGTGAAGAGTACCTGAGCTATAACAAACCTGTTTGGTTTTGCCAGTTTGAAGGCCAGACAAAAAAACTCCCCACTAAAACCAAAAGAAAACATCAAAATTAGCAAAACAGAAAAAATAATTTTGTCTCCACTGGTGTCATACAGATACGCTCATATCCATAAGATAAAATAAAAGCAACTGAAAGAGGAAACTCAGAAAAGGACTGTGAATTGTAGCAATCTGATATTTATATAAAAGTCCTGTTTTTACATATTTTTTAGAAATTATTTTGGGGCAGTGAATATGTGAACCTTTCATCAAATATACCCATCGTTCAAAAAGAAAATAATTGTTTTACATTTTTCCAGAAAAAAAGTTTTTTTAAAACAAAGGAAAACACTGCAGTCCCCCCCCCTTTTTATCCCCATTTTCTTAAAGGCCTTCTTATCTCTCGTTACAATTGCTTGTATGCTGTGTATCATCCACAGTTCCAATATATTGTACTAGCATGAGATGTCAGTTGCCCTCCCCCAGACAGATAGACCTCCACAAGCTGAAATACTCAGCAACATTTTCCCTGGACAACAGTGTTTTTCGGCTTTTCCGTGAAACGTCAGCACATTTGTTAGTTACTGACAGGTGTTTCCCCCCCTCCCCCAGTGTGTCTGTTATGTAACCTACAAAGTGAATCTGGAATATTCTGATTCAACAGGAACTTTAGGAAATGGCTGGGATATAAGTCCTCATGCTTCTCGAATTTTCTGGAAGATTTTTTTTTCCACTTGGGTCAGTTTGTGTTTTTTCTTGTTCACATCTGTGGACACAGCACTTCCAAATCCTTACCAAAAAATTATAGAGGAAAGTGGAAAAGCAACAAAGAGGTACAGTAGGATTTTTGATTTTACAGTAATATTGTGTGCTGTCCATCCTAGAAGCACACTGAATTTTTGTTAGAGCTACTCTGACTTCACCTGTTCCACTTTGTAGAATTTTGGAGCGGGAACTCGAAATTAATGGCCTTTCCTTGCCTTTCTTAAAGGAACTCAGCCAGTAGGGAGGAACTGGAGATTTTGATGGCAAATGTATTGTTTTTTGGCTGTATATCTGTCTAAATACCCTAAAGGCACCAGGTCCTGTCTGATATTGGAAGCTAGGCAGGGTCAGTCCTGGTTGGTACTTGGATGGGAGACCACCCACGAATACCAGGTACTGCAGGCTAAATTTCAGAGAAACGAACTGGCAAAACCACCTCTGAGTATTCTTTGCTTAAGAAACCTCTATGAAATTCATGAGGTTCCCATAGGTCAGCAGGTGACTTGAATTCCCCAGCCCCATCCCTGGTGGAATATATAGCTTTTAAATGTAAAGATTAAGACACTTCCTTCCTCTGTTTTATATGAAACTTGTATTTTGATTATTTTAGTGGTCAATCTGAATAGCAGAGCATTTTCCATTTTTAGAAAGAGGGCTGCTATGCTTCTTCGCCAATATTAATAATAATAATAATAATAAACAATAATATTTATTATATCCCGCCTTTTGCCTGAGCAATCAGGGTGGCTTACAAATATAAGATACAAATTAAAAACATACATTACAACAATTACAGTAATACAATACCCCCCTTCCCTTAAAAGACTAAATACAATATTTTTCAGGTTAGGCCTGATGGAGTTGGCCAGCCTTCTCTCCCTCCAGATGATGGTGGATGGAGGAAGGGCCTTCTTCTTTTCAAGGAGCGGGATTTAAAGTCTCCGCTTCTCCCCCAGCTGCAGGTGATGTAGTTATATCATGACTTGACTTGAAATGACTTGAAGGCACACAACAACAGCAACAGGCACTACTAAAGAGCCAACAATTCTTTCCTTGGCAAAAGTAGAGCATGGATAAGCTCATTTTTTGAATTACAACTGAACTTGGGAGGCTTATGGGCATTTTAGTAAAAGTAACTTCACTGTGTTCCAAGAAGAGTTCAAGTAAGTCTCACTCAATTATCTCCTACCCTACTACTGTATAATACAAGAGACAATACAAAAGTAACACAATATGATAATCTAAGTGTAAGTGGCACACATACTGTATATGAAACAGCATACCTCCACATTATTAACTTTCCTTCCAATCTACAAGTCATTTTCACTCCTTGTGCAATTTTATATCATGTGCCCCATATAAAGATGGTAAAGGTATGGAAATTATCTGTTCCACTAAATAAAATGATGGAAATGTAAGATTTTGCTGCTTTCAGCCTACTCTTTCCCATACAGGCTTAGCAATGCTTGGGGTATCTTGTTCCAACTTATTAATGAACGCGACCTGCTCAACATTACCCTGTTGGTGTTCTATAGGCAAGGTTACTGGGCACCAAGGTAGAGGATAGGAATATATTCCTCCTGAGGTATGCAAAATTTTATTTGCTTCTTTAAAACCACCCCTTGGTTTAATTAAAACAATAACAACAACAACTACAGTCTCACTGCCCTCCCCTCACAGTCTCACTGCCCTCCCCTCACAAAGTCTGAACAAACATGCTGCCTATCCCTCCTACTACCTCTGACCATGAAGGTGCTAGGTAGTTGTAAGCTGAGATTGAGAATTAGGCTCAAGGAAAGCAAGTGGTTTGCTTCCCATCAGCCTATGGGGAAAGGGAATGAGAAACTGGAGTTTGCTGGAATTTAAATTATCTCATTCTCCCTCTTCAAATAATGTAAAAACACACCCCCTACAACTGAGGGTATGGCTGAGAAAGGCAATTAAAGGTGCACAATAACCTTACACTATACTGGGGTGGGTGGGTGTCACTTTTGATGCTTCTTGAGATACTTCTGTGTTAAATGTGGCCTAACCTAACTAAGGGCCTTTGCAGACTGCCAGAAATAGTGCAAATTGAGTCCACTTTAACTGCCCTG